AATGACCTAACGGCAGAATGACCAGTTGCTATGATGTGCACTGACCATGAGGGGGCAGACCCTCAATGCAGGAGATGCCCCCTGGTGGTCAGTGCACTCCCACAGGAGGAGCGCCACTCAGCCAGAAGCCCTGAGCTGGGCTCACCGCTGGCGGGAGTGGGCCTAAGCCACTAGTTGGACATCCCTCAAGGGCTCTAAACTGGGAGAGTGCATGAATATCATACACTGGGCCTGTAGCAAAATAATAATCAGAAATAATCTTTCTCCTTTCAGAATAAATACCAATGATAAGAAAAAAGCCCCATTATTTTACTTTCTATCCAGGAACAACATAATTCACCAACCATTGCTTAAAGTCATTCAAAGAATTTTGCAATTTCTGGCAAGACAGCAAATGCACTGTTCTCCTAAGCCAGGGGTGGGGAACCTTTTTCCTGCCAAGGGCCATTTGAATATTTATAACATCATTCATGGGCCATACAAAATTATAACAAAAATTAGCCTGTTACATTTGGTCAACCATGTAATTAACTCACCCCGAATGCCTTGGCAGAGCCAGACTAAATGATTTTACAGGCCTTTATGGCCCGCAGGCTGGACGTTCACTGCTCCTGTCCTAAGCCACACAATCAGTCCACACTGTTTGATCAGTCCCAAAATTCTTTTCTATGGGCTAAACGAAGAGCCAGATCAAGGTAAGAGTTTAATGTTTCACTTCGGTTTTTTGAAAGGATTATAAAAATTTTGCAAAAATTATGTTAAAGTTGTAAAAAAATCTTAAGCATCTGGTTGTAGAATAAATGCTAACTGTAGACAATCTGGAAAACACAAATTACGGAAGAGGAACTAAAATAACTCCTTATCCCAGCACCTTCACAGTATAATTTTCAATGGTTACATATTTTATTGTAAGGATGGGCTATAGTCAATGTGTAGCACATCCCCATTATTGGATACTGAATTTTCTGGGGTTTTGCTAGTTTATAAATATTACAGTGCTAGACGACTCAGTGCAGAAACCTGGTGTAGTCTATTTTTAATCATTTCTAAAAGATAGAGTCCAAAGTGAAAGAAATGACTGGGAATGGGATGGATAGAAGCATCATCAGAGCACTGGATAAAATACTGCCAAGTGATTCCCAAAATGGTTGTGCCAACTTAAACTTCTGCCATCTCTCCTGCCTTGGCCTCTTCTCAAAAAACTAAGAATGGAACTCCCATTGATCCAGTGATCCTACTCCTAGGAATGTACCCAAGAAACAAGAAACACTAATCAGAAAGGATATATACACCCCCATGTTCATAGCAGCACAATTTATCATAGCTCAGATTTGGAAAGAGCCTAAGTGCCCATCAGCAGATGAGTGGATTAAAAAACTGTGGTACATCCACACAAGGAATACTACGCTGCGGTAAAAAAGGAGGAATCCTTACCATTTGCAACAGCATGGATGGAGCTGGAGAACATTATGCTATTCGAAATAAGCCAGTCAGAGAAAGATAAATATCACATGCTCTCACTCATTTGGGAATGAAATGAATATAAACTGATGGACAAAAACAGATCCTTTAACTGTGATTGTGACAACATAAACCCAACATTAGTCAAATTCATTGCATGACATATAAAGTCCTTCAAATTCTGGCTCCCATCTCCATCTCCAGACTTATCTCCCACCATCCACATCATCAGAAATGCGGCCCGTGGTCCCGTAAGCGGGGGCAGATTAAGAGATGAGATCTGATAGTAACCACAGTAGTGTTAAGCCAAGGTCACTGTGAGAAAGGAAATTCTTCAACTCTAACTCTGGCAGCACATACTGATAGTGAGTGGGGAGGGTGGAGAGAGGGAGAGGCGATGAACAAACACAGAAGGCTCCACGCCTGTAATATGTGCTCCTTGTGGTTATGAATTACAGGGCCCAGATTTGTGCTCAAGTCCTGCTTCTCCTGCACCTGTGACCTCAGTCAGGTTACTGAAACTTACTGAGGCTCAGTGCCTTGATAAGCAAAATAAAAATAAAACGGATGAGTTAATAAGCTCTAACCTTTCTCCCACTAAAATTCTGAGTCAAGCTTTGAAAATCTTAAAGATCAAAATGTTTCCTAATGATCCTCTGAAGGGGGGAGGATGAAATAAAAGGTTTTAGAGAAATGATGTGCCAAATTAAGGTCTGAGAAAATGGCTCATGGAACAGTCTTGAAATCTGTGCTTACTGACTGTTAATGGCTCCTGTGCACAGCAGCTTCTGTCAGGCATCCTCGCAGGGAGTGCTTTCTGAAGAAGAGTCTAGAGCAGTGGTTGCCAACCTTTCAGACCTCAGGGACCCCAGTGGTCCACGGACCAACAGCTGGTGACCGCTGCGGTCTATAGCTTTCCCAACTATAATACCTGCAATCGTGCTCCTGTTAACACTCATGAGATATGCAAGTGCTCAGCCTTCAAGGGTATTATTCCATGCTCCTTTGGATTCTACTCATCACTGAGAGCATCCATATTCCACACAAGTAACCAAAGAGCAAGAGCAGAATAATCCTGTGACTTGGAGCAAATGTCACTTTCAGAATTACAGTCTGGAGACCATACTAATCATCTCCAACACCTGCACTCGACATAAAAGATCGCCTTTATTTCACAAAACCCTTGAGGATGAGCTGGTTAGGTTTATAAAAGAGGCTCTTAACTCCTTTTGGCAAAAGTTAGCTTATTTGGAGAGTGTTTTCTTCCTAAAAGCATCCCTAAAGAAAGTAATCATTTCACTACCTCTGCTTACGCACTTAACATGCTGGAAATGTATTCTACACACAGAATTCCTTACCACACTACTGTCCACTGCACTACCCCAGAAATTTGGGAGGTGCTGGCCACAGAAAGAAAAAGATGAACACTATTGACTTCATAGGGGTACCAGCAATTGGTACCAAATTCTTGCGCAATTATAGAAACTGTACCATAATACACATTGATAAGAATAATGATAAACATTTTACGTGTCTTCCAGTCAGATCATGGAGTCTGCGTTCTAACTGTGCGTCATTCTGCATGCTTTTAAAAGAAACATGTTGCCCTAACTGGTTTGGCTCAGTGGACAAAGTATCGGCCTGCAGGCTGAAGGGTCCCAGGTTCGAATCCGGTCAAGGGCATTACCTTGGTTGCAGGCACATCTCCAGTAGGAGGTGTGCAGGAGGCAGCTGGTCCATGTTTCTCTCTCATTGATGTTTCTAACTATCCCTCTCTGTAATAAAATATATTAAAAAAAAAATAAAATAAAAGAAGCGTGTTTTCCATATCCACTCTATGAAGCTACATAACCTTAGGACATAATTAGCAGCACTGTGCTTCATCTCACAGGGTTCTCCCAGTGTTTACCGCTGAATCCCTCCCAGCAGCCTTCACTGTCAGAGCACAGGTGTTCACCCTCTTCCTTTTGCTTCCTCCGAAAGCTAAAGATCAGCACAGCTGACCTTTCTCACACTGAGTGACATGAACTCAAAAATAACAAAGTGACAACAACGATGACGATAACCCTCCAATCCAGGGGAATAAAAACATAAAACCCAAGAACAAGAGTGAAGGCCACACAGCACTGTATAACGAAAACAAAACCCACCTTCCCCACACACCTGCGAGGAGTTGCAGCAGCCTTTACATCAACATTATTTAAAGGTTTGCCACAGAATCACACAGACCTTTCTCATGTCAGGGAATAATAACTCCTCCTTACCCACCACTAGACAAACCACGCATCGGAGGTCGGCGTGGAAATCCGGTATCCCATATGTCCACCCAAATAAGGACGGGTGGGGGTTACAAATGCCAAGGAGCATGAGCCGGAGAGCATCTGGAAGGTTCTGCAGAGCAGAACTCTCACTCCAAGGAGCCCTGCCCGAAAAGACTCCAGTTCTAACCCTGCTTCCTCTCCACCCCAGACCATACTAGGCCACGGGGTCGTTTTCAAATGGGTCACGGGTGGTACCGCCCAAAATGCGCCCGCCATTCGGTGATTTTCAGACTTTGCGATTTTGGGGCCCAAACTCTGGAATCACATTATTCCAAGTGTCAGGTGAGGAGCCCCTACAACCAACGGTGTTTTTTTGTTTGTTTTTTTTTGTTTTGTTTGTTTGTTTTTAATATATTTTATTGATTTTTCACAGAGAGGAAGGAAGAGGGATAGAGAGCTAGAAACATCGAGGAGAGAGATACATCGACCAGCTGCCTCCTGCACACCCCCCACCGGGGATGTGCCCGCAACCAAGGTACATGCCCTTGACCGGAATCAAACCTGGGACCCTTCAGTCCGCAGGCCGATGCTCTATCCACTGAACCACACCGGTTTCGGCCCAACAGTGTTTTTAATGACCTGCCAGGTGAATCCAATCAGGTGGACCCGCTGCCATAATTTGGGGCATCTGACCCTAACAGGTTCCCCCAAAGAACACCTACATCAACCACCCCAACGTGTGGCGAGGACTTGGGCCCGAAGCATCCCACCACCAGGCGGCGCCTGGACCCCCAGGAAGTGGGGAGGCGATGGGGCGGCGGTCCCTCCCATTTGTCCACCCAGCTCCACTCGGCTGTGGAGAGGGCTGGGGCCAGGGCTTAGCCTTGGTGACCACGCGTCCTGCCTCTTGGTAGAAGATGACCAGACGTCCCGATTTTGAACAATGTTGTCCCGCGTCACACTGTTAACAATCGGGGCTGTCCCGCCCAAAGCGGGGCGTCTGGCCACCTTATCTTAGCAGCCCTGCGTCCTTAACGCCCGGCCTCAGTTTCCCCATCTGTGCAACGGGCTCGCGCCGCCCCCGGAAGCCGAAGCCGAAGCGAAACTAACTGGGCAGGTGGCGGGGGCACTTCCTGGATCTCCCAGCCCCGCCCCGCTGCCCCGGCCCCGCGGAGGGCGCCCCCCGCGGGCCGCAGCCTTTCGGCCCCCGCCAACCCCGGCCCCGGCCCCGGCCCCGGCCCGGCCCCAGCCCGACCCCGGCCCCGGCGGGCCACTCACGGGTAGGCATGGTGACCCGAGCCGCGCTCGCCGGCGGCGCTCGCTCCCAGGCTCCGCGGGGCCGCGCAGGTCACGCCGTTGGCACCATGACGCGCCGACGCCGAGCCGCGGGGGCCGGGCCGGGCCGGGGCGGAGGCCGGAGGGCGGGGGCAAGGGACGCCGACCCGCAGCTCACGCAGCGATGCCGGCCGCGGCTGCCTGGGCCGGCCCAGCTCCACGCCGGACGACGCGTTGGGCGTCCGCACGCGCTGACGTCAGCACGTCGCCGCCGACGCCCAGGCCCCGCCCCCGCCGCTCGGCCGAGCCCCGCCCACACGAGCGATCGCCTCTGGGCCTGTGGGGGAGGCGGCACGTGGGGAGGGGAGCGCCCAGAGCTGCAGTGCGAAGCTTCGTGTGTGGTCAAACCCTAGCGGGTTTGGGTGATATTCGTTTTCACGGATCCTCCTTATTCGAGGGGCATTAGCAATATTGTTTCTTGCAGTTTAAGATGTTTGGGAGGAAAAGCACGGTTGCTTTCGGTGCATGAATCCCTACCTACCTACCTATATACCTACCTGTGGGTTTTTTCTTTTATGAGCTGTTGAGTTTGCCAGGCCTTCTGCAGTCTCTGATGGCATTTTTCTTTTGAGAGGTCATGTAGGGTGATGGCCGCGCCTTTTTGCAGAGCACAGAAAAGGTCATTTCCTCCTGCCCTGCTGGGGACTGGCAGAGAGGTTTTCACGCCTCAGGAGTTCCTCTCCTCTGGGGAGGGCCGGCACTCCACTCGGCTGAGCCGGTTTTCTTGGCACGCCAAGTGTCTGTCATTGGTAACTGATGCGGCCCTTGGAGCCAGAGCCTTCAGCAATGCCCCGCACTGTGCTAGGCACTGAGGGCTGTGGGCAGCCTGTGGGGAGAAGGAGAAGGAGGCCACAGAGGTCTGAAACTCTCTTAGTGCTTCGGGATCCTTTTTTGCACGAATCACCTGGGAACCTGTTTAAACCAGATCTCTAAGTCAGAGCTATACCTGCTGAATCCCACTGGAGCATGATTCAAATGCACATGTAAATCTAAGAGCCTTGCCTTTGTCCTAGGAGGCAGTGCCCACCTTCTGGTCAAGAAATGATCCTGTGCAGCATTGAAAGAAGAGGAGATAACTCCCTGATAAGTCAAGATTGTGGGTTGATTCCAGGTCAGGAACACGTACAAGAATCAACAAATGAATGCATAAGTGCAACAACAAGCCTCTCCCTCTCTCTCTCTCTCTCTCTCTCTCTCTCTCTCTCTCTCTCTCTCACCAATAAATAAATAAATAATTAATTAAAAAAGAAAGCACCAGGAGCTTGGGGGAGATTCACTTTGAATTTCTTGAGAAGAAAGCAGAATTTGAATTAGCAAGGACCTGGCAAGTCCTTCCAGAGGCTGGAGGAGGGTGGAGGAAGTTAGAGTGAGTCATCGAAGCTGGTCAGAGGGGAGTGTTTTGCTGAGGGTAAAGGCCAAACTACAGAGTACTTGGCCAACACACCTGCATGTTTTCATTATCTCTCAAGTCCTTACCCCTCCCAGTTTCTCCCCAGGACTTTCTCAGGACCTCCATTTGCCTCCACTGGAGCAATTTTCCATTTGAATCCTAACTAAACTGTCCTAAGTGTTGGCATTCTACCACTGGACTATACACTTTTCAGAAAATGGCAGAAACCCATTTTCTGTTCATATTTATGTATTTCTTCCTGGCCCACAGTAAGGGGCTGACACATATTATCACATGGTCAGGAGAATTCTCGCTTCGTAGTACACAGTGTTTTACAAAGTATCATACTTTAAAAAGATACTAGCTTGTAAGAACATGTAATAAATAATTTCAAAATGCAACAGGTAGTTAGTTTTAAAGCATGCCTTTAATATTTATGTAAAATGTTTGTTGTACTTGTTCAATAGAAACTTATCTGGCCACTAGGTAAAGCTAACAATAAAACTACTGGTCCACAAAGTGTTAATTTAATAACTATATAAATATAAGTACATATTCACTCAATGAATAGGGAAACAAAAAAACAAAACAGGTAAAATAGAAATAGTTAATGATTTTACAGACGAGCTTGGAATTTGTCCTTGAAGAGGCCATTCTAGGTTCTGTATGTGGACAGTTGTGAATCTAGCATTACATCACCAGAGGGAGGGCTCCACAGAGTGGACAGCGTGGAGGGAAGGCCTCAATATTTACACAGAGGGGAGTGTTAGGTGCCTAGTCTTGGTGGTGGCTGTAGAAAAGGGAAGAGCTGCATTTTACTGCAGAAGAATCCCTGGGATTTGTTGGCTGCTACTTGGGAGCAAAAGCGAGGCATCTGTTGGATGTGTAACTCCAGGGTTGGGATAAGGAAACCTAGGAGAACCCCAGACAGGTTGGGAGGAACCCTGCTTTCGGAAGTGGGCGTGAAGAGAGGATGAGAGTTTCTCTTTGATATATTAAGTTTGGGATGGCATTAAGGTTAGACATTCCAGTGACCAGAGCTGGGCACACCATTCTGAAGGCAGACAGAGAAACCTCAAGGTGGGAGATTTGGGAGTCTTGGGCTCAGGGACAGAGTCTGAAGCCAGGAGTCAGAGAAAGCCAAGGAAGGAGGGAGGGAGGTTGTGGAGCTAAAGAGACGGTCAGAATCAGAGGAGATCCAGAAGGCACGGTGCCCGGAAGCCAAGGGAGGATATGGCATTAGTCAGAGAAGACACAAATCCCAGAGGCCATAATACAGTCCTGCCCAGAATGGATTTGGTTCTTCTTATTTTTTTAATCCCCTTGGCCTCTTGCCTTTGTGTTGTTGCCAGAAATAAACACCAGCAGCTGACGATGGTGAGGAAGGACTGCTGAAAGGCAGGGAGGATAACACCATGATTGTTGGGTCATCCATACCACACGTAAGTGTTTTTCTAGTCTGGACACATAGGCTACTGGTAACACTGTGACCATGCAGACTGCCTTGATCCAAATTCCCTGGATCAAGTTCTGCCTGTGGGTCTGCCCGACCCTGCCAGCTTCTGAGAGGACTGTTTCAGCACCTTGGTTAGTGCTCGATCCTAGAGAGTTCGCCTCTGCTGGACCACTTCTGCTTTTGCAAACACATCTGCTCTGTGCCAGTGCTCCTCACTTGAGGCTTACCTGGAACTGGCAGGAACAGGGCTTTCTCCATCTCCCTCCGTCCTCACACTGCCCAGCCCTTGTCCTTGCCTAGTGTGTGTGGCCACACGGAGATGGGACACCCGATTCCTTCTCTAGAAAGGTCGTCTGCCTGAAAATATCCATTAAAATGACATTAGATCCTTGTCAACATCCTATTAAAGCATTAGCTTTCAGCCCAAATTGCCCCAAATAGCTCTGCTTCCCATTTGGTCCAGTATTTGTTCCAATTTCTACATCAGGCGCTGAGATGGCTCACTTTTAATTAGCACAAAATTTACTGTTCAAAGGTAACTGCCAGCAGATGTACAGTTGATAGGAAATAACTGTAAGAATAATCACTTCTCCCCAAAGTGCATTCCCCAGAGGTCATAATGATGCAATTGGATGCTCTGGTTGCTTAGTTTTCTTTCTCCCTAAATATATCAGTGATATGCCCTTTTTGTTTCATTTTTGTCCGTTTTATTTCTGCCAATGTTTACTAGGGACTCCGGGCTTTCCAGTTCTCATGAGGCATAAAAAACAGACTTTGAACGTAGAAAACCTGGATTTGAATCCTGCTTTCCCCCTTACCTGGCCTTTTGACCATCTTTGACCTCTCTGCACTTAATTCTCCTCAATTTCAAAGCCAAGAGCCATCCCCTTGCGATGTTCTCTGAGTCTGCGCAAGGCAGTAGTCCTCAAACAAGACTGGCCTTTGAAGTTACCAGGGAAGCTTAAAAACAACAACAACAAAACACTGGGACCCCATTCCGAAGATCCTGGAGTGATTGGTTGCAGCATGGCCTGGGCTTGGACTTGATTTCAAAGCCTGTCAGGTGTGTCTGTGTGTAGCCAAAGTCAACTTCACGGCTTTAGAGAAGAAATGAAGGAAGAGGAGGCTCTAGTTCAGGGTCTCCTGAGGTCATTTCTGTTGCCAGTTGAGCTCATGTGTTTTGACAGTACTGCACTCTGAATGAGAATAATCACTTCCACTCACAAGCCAGCCCAAGGAGTTGGAAACACTTATTTAGAAAAAAAAATTAGAAGGCTAATCTCTAATCCAAAAGGTCAGTACCCAGCCCTTTCTGTGCCAATTAGGACACTGTGCAAGGCACACGTTCCTCATCTTCCCGGGAGCCAATGTCACAGGCACCTGTGCTTTATAAAGAGAATTGCTCACGGATAGGGACCAAGATCCTGAGATAATCAGGCTATGAGTTCTTGATTAAATCAGACAAAACAGCTATCTTTAGAAACACTATCATTTTAAACAATTAGAGGAACGTGTTATCTCTCATTTACTAGAGCGCTAGCTAGCTTTAGCATTTAGCACAAGGTATATAGCAACACTGCTCAAAGGAGGGGGATAAGGTCTTTTTTAAAAAAAATATGGTTATTGATTTCATTTCAGAGAGAGGAAGGGAGAGGGAGAGAGGAACAGAAACATCAGTGATGAGAGAGAATCATTGATCAGCTGCCTCCTATACACCCCCTACTGGGAATTGAGACTGAAAAAACCTGGGCATGTGCCCTGACTGAGAATCGAATTGTGACTTACTGGTTTCTGGGTTGATGCTCAACCACTGAGCAACACCAGCTGGTAAAGGTAAAACTCTTTTAGATACAGTGGCATTCTAATATAGGTCCCAGCCATCCTGATCATCTCACCATAGCCCAGCCAGCCCCAGCTGACTCACTCTGCAGATATTCACAAGTCAGTCTAGCTAAGACCAGCATGGAACCCAGCTGAGACTAGCCCAGATTGTCAACGCACAGCAGTCTCCCTGTGGGTGCTCCAACCCCTCTAAAAAGGGACACTGGGACACCCTATCCCAGGTCAGTGTGCCTCTTCAGCATTTGGGCTGGAGACACAAAGAAAGCCAAGAGTTAGAGCAGAAATGAGCAGCCTATGTGAGGGGTGATGGGAGGGAAAGGAAAGGATGACGTATGAAAGCTTAGAGCTGAGTAACGCCCCCGCACTATTACTGGACCCTCAACTCTGCCAGCTCTGTGGTGTTCCTGACAAGGAGTCCTGAACAAGAGCCTGTTAAAGAGGACACTGAACTTCAGGGAGGTCAAAGGCGGGGGCTTCCCCCTCCCTCTCCC